CCTTTGGTAATCTTCCATTCACAGCCTGAAAAGGTTGTGCTATATCCTTCTCCATCAAGCTGTCCTACAAAAATCAAATTTCTTTTGAGGCCAGGAATATATCTCACTCCCTTCAGTGTCCAGGTGGTATGGTTTGGAAACTTTAATCGAATGTCTCATTTTCCGACGATCTTCAAGGTTTCATCATCAGCTAGATGAACCCTCCCAAAATTACCACTGACATAGCTCTCCATGATTTCTTGGCATGGGGTGGAGTGGAAAGATGCACCTGAATCCAAGATCCATGATTTAATCAGACTGTTGACACTTAGAATCATGGCATCACCTGTCTCCTTTGTCATGTTTACAGATTCCTGTGCACCTGTATCTTTCTTCAGTGCTAGGCAATCTCTTTTAAAGTGACCCTTCTTGCCACAATTATAACAGGTAAAATCTTTCTTTCATGTTCTTGATTTTCCCTTCTGGATTTAGATCTGCCACAATTTGAATTTCTTTCTGAAGTTCTCCCTCTGGACTCCGTGTGTAAGGATGAGGAGGTTGATGCTTCACCCGATTCTCTCCGTCGAATTTCTTTGCTCAATACCATATCCTGAACATTATCGAATTTTAATTTGTTGTTTCCCGACGAGCTGCTGACTGCTATAACAGTAGTATTCCAACTGTCTGGTAGAGATGATAAGAGAATTAAAGCTCGAACTTCATCATTAAATTCAATTTCCACGGAACTCAACTGGGTTATGATTGTGTTGAGTTCATTCAAGTGTTGAGTCACTGATGCCCCTTCTGCCATCCGCAAATTGAATAATCGTCTCATCAAGTGCACTTTGTTTGAGGCCGATGACTTCTCATACATACTGGAGAGAGCCGCCATAAGACCTACCGTGGTCTTTTCCTTTGCTATGTTGAAGGAACATTGCGGGATAGCGTCAGTCGGATAACTCCGAGGGCTTGTCTGTCGAGAAGAGCCCAGTCTTCATTCTTCATGCCCTCTGGTTGCTTTCCTGAGAGAGGTTGATATAGATTTTTTTGGTACAGAAAATCTTCATTTTGCATCTTCCAAAAGCCAAAGTCCGCACTATCGAACTTTTCAATTTTCACATTCCCTTCGTCTGCAGCCATCGCTCCCACTCGAATCTGGCTTCTTTGGACCATTTCTGATAATTTGTGCGAACCACCGTGTATTATAACACCTCCATTGACAAATTCGTATCGCCGACAAGTTATTGACAAAATTCACTATTCACGGTAATAGTAATGAATAGTAACCTCGCAAAAAATTGAAAAAATTCACAACCAAAAGCTCTTATACCAGTTATTGGGAAATAACCGAGTAACGAGTAATTTCCTTATAACCAGATTAGTGATAATGAGAAATAAAAGTGAAAAAATAATACCCGAAATTGATAACAGAGTTCAGCCAATTGTGCTTACGTCTCCGAACTATTCCAGATCTTTTACTAAGAGAGAAAATTTACAGGTGTTTGCAAAACACTTACTATTCACAAGAAACTCTCTAGTATTAGGAGAAATAAATGATTTTGGGATTTGGCATTTTGGGATGATTTTGAAGTTAAATGAGCTAGGGTATTTATAGTTCAAATTTAGGGACTACTCTTGAAAATACCCTAAAGTGTGCAATGACTAAATGTGTAATAATCCCAAAATGATAAGGCGCCGAGCAGACCGAGAATGCCGTTGAAGAATGGGAGAGCCATCGCCACCACGGTCGACGTGATCATGTAAGCTGTTGTCCATACAAGCCTGAAGGTATTGAAAGTATAATCCCCAAACAGTGGGAGCTTAATTGGTCTACTTTCTTTTATGAAATTGTTGTTTGGCCATTGGTTTAAGCACCAGTCCTCGACCTTATTAACTACCGGTTGGCAAAATATCTGGTAAGCTCCCACAAGATGTACAATAATGCACATATTAGCAAAGTCGATAAGCCAATAAGGTTCGTAAAAACCGAACTCTGTTAGAAAATTGTCCGGCGCGGCGTTACCAAATGCTGCATAACCCAAAGCTCCACACAAGATGTAGAACAAGGTGGTAATCAAGACCCCGACCACCGTTGCCTTTTTCATGGCTTCGTTTTCCGGTGGACTTGATTTAAGTGTATCCTGCAATTCAATGAATATAAGTCTTTTTTTCTTTTTTTCTTTTTTTCTTTTTTTTCCTTGGAAGGTAAAAGGGTCATTGCAAACAGGAGACTTGCCTGTATTTCAATGAGGATAGTGGAGAAAGCATAGGCGAAAGCAATGTCGCCGAGGGCTTCAAAGCAGCTCCAAATCTTCTGCCATTTCCTCACATCAACTCCAATTGTCGTCCCTGTCAAACTTGACTTAGGATGAGACCCTCCCGCAACTTTTGCTATCGAGAGACCGAGGCCGATGTAAGAGTACGCAAACGACATAACAGCAGAGACCACGGAGAGCCATGAGAGCTCGTTGAAGTTCGGAATTTGGCTTAATATGATCTCCGTGACGCCGAAGATAATAATAAACATGTTATTCTTAACATGGCAGCCTGCAGCTTGGCCCTCTTCGTGAAAGCAACCCGATCGTTTTATCGCCCTGGTTAATCAACAATTAAACAAGGAGATTACAATTAAATTACAACAAAATATCATCTTTAACATATCAATCAAAACCAGATATCTGGAAAAAAGCTTACGCCATACTAATGGCTGATGTGATTGAATATCCAATTGTTGTCCCTACAAGATTCACATACTGTGCTATCCCACAAAACTCGGTATTGATTCCTCCCGTTAGAAAGAAACCCAGAAATTTATTAGCATTGGGGTTCCATGTACTTGAAAGAATAACAATTTCAACTCCTTGTCACCTAAGTTATATTTGACAGCATCCATGTAACAGCTGCATCTTGTTCCTGAAGCAGGGTCCCTGCAACAATCGGTTTGCAGAATCGATGTAAACGAATTGATGGCAGAGAAGAATACGACCGAAACGAGACTGCAATCCAGCCTAATTGAGCAAAGGCCCATGAAAGAGATAACACTCCTGATCCTATAACTGCTGTTATTATATGTGCATGCACTTGCACTCGCCCAAGTTCCTGCAACAAAAAAAAAAAGATAAGATTTTTAACTTTGAAAACAATGAAATAATATGTTGCAGAAAAAACCCGGATTCGAACATGGCTTGCCTGTTCTTTTTGAGCTTTCATCATCAACTTGATGAGCAATGATAGGTTTGTCAGTTTCCAATTCCATAGCATGTAATGTCAATAATATACTTGAAGGATGTTAGATTTGTGTTTTGGGGTTTGAGAGATTATTGAAGAATGCTTGCTTGGCCAAAATTAAGCACAAACTCCATGGATATTCATAAAACTTAACCCTGAAGCTAATCTGTTAGGAATTTGAAGATGATCATCTTAAGTAAACCCTTTTTTTTTAAATTCAAAAAAGGTTATAATATGGTAACCTTCCAAACTAGATTAACAAGAACTTGTAATACATATATAAGATATTTCTAACATGGGTAATAAACAAGCTTCTTCTATTTCCCATACCAGACGAGCCACGGAAAAGGTTAGGCGGAGAGAGGAGGGAGGAGGATCCGCCGGATGATGAAGTCATGGTCGTCAACAACAATGATGATAATCAGATATCTTTCAAAGATGAACTTACATGTGACTCAAGAAAATCGACAAAAACATGACTCGTGCTCGGATAATATCTAATGGTGGAACCAGGGACATATAGATTCGCCATGTTTCAAGAATTGCCTAGGAATGTTATTGTTCGGATTCGCCAGGTCATCAAAATTGACTATAACATGGATAATGGGACAAGGGACCGGCTTACAAGGATGGCCATTTGCATTGAGCAGTTCCACATGTGTGTTTCAACTGCGAAAAGAATGGCCATGTCAAAGAAATTCGTCCTTCAGGTCATCAATATATGAGGTTCTTCAGAAAGTTAGACAAGGAAATTTTTGGTCGATTGGATTCTTGTGGAGCGTCGACAAAGAAGGCGACGAAAGATAAATGTGGATATATAGCTGAGAAAATGGAATACCAGCCGAGAATCAAGGTGTGTCTGGTTGTCAAGTGGAGTAGTTATTGAATTTGGTGATTAATGAGTTGATTCATCTATCAGTCAAGTTGTCTCGTCCGTGAAATAGTTTGTATATGGGGTTTTTAACCAAATTAAACGATCAAAATGAAGTTTTTTTGGGTTAATCAGTTGGTTAATTTTTCGTTCGGTCAATTAACGGTTAAGATTTTTTTTAAACTTCAATTATCAATTAATTCGGTTCGAAATATGTTAGTTAACCTAATTAACCGAAATTTTAAACATTTTAATATTATATATATTATTTAGCCTTTTGAGTGTTTAAACTTCGATTTTAATCGAATCAACTAAAAATACTTAATATTTAATATATGTTATTTATAAATTTATGTTAATTTGGTTAACCGAACTTTGTTTAGTTAGATTAAAATTTTAAAAAATCAATTTAGTCAACAATTAAAAAGAAAATCGGTTAACGATTTTTAGATAGTTCGATTCAATTGATTAGCTGAACGGACGTATTAAACCCCTATTTATATCACGGGTCACGGATCAAGGTTTGAGACCTGCAAACATAGCGTTCAAGGAGTATATGTTTACAAATCAAAACTAAAAAGTCTTCTAAAATCAGATTGTGCTTGCTAACATCCAGAACTCATTTATTAAATAAATAGAAATCTAATCAAATTAAGATTTTGCTTTCTGGATAGATTTATTAATCCTAGTCAATAGAATAAATGAAACTTATGTCTAGTCAATAGAAATCTTCAGTTGTAGGGGGATTTGAATATAAATAGATGTTTTTAATCCAAGTTTTTAGTGAGGACATTGGTAGAACACAATTTAGCCAACAATCAGGTCTGCCATTGTTTTAACTCTAAAACAATATAATTCTTCTGATTATTTATTTACTTGTTCGGATTAGATTTCAAGTCAACAGATGCTACATAAACAAATTTCTTAATATAATTCTTCTGAAATTGTATTAATAAAACATGAAAATCATTAAGAAACTGAGGTGAAAGGCTTGTATGTTTGGAGATCCTTAGCGATTACAGCAATGGAGCCGGCCGCTGCTAGGACCGATATAATCAAGCAGGCCACGACCAGGACGTTTAGCCATATCCATTTCCAGCAAAAGAGTCGAATGTTTTCTCTCGATATGTGCATTTGGATCGGGAAATACACGGTCAGCGGCCAAAATGAAGCGGCGCCGAGCAGACCGAGAATGCCGTTGAAGAACGGGAGAAGCATCGCCACCATGGTTGTCGTGATCACGTAAGCTGTTCGCCATACAAGCCTGAAGGTACTGAAAGTAGAATCCCCAAACAACGGCAGCTTAATTGGTCGACTTCCTTTTATGAAATTGTTGTTTGGCCATCGGTTCAAGCACCAGTCTTCCACCTGTTTGAATATTGGTTGGCAGAATACCTGGAGGGTAAAAAGAAAGAAAAACATCATCATTTTATTTAAGTTTATGTATGATATCAATGTTATTGTCTAAATTCGAATAAAATTACCTGGTAAGCTCCCACAAGATGAATAATAATGCACAGATTAGCAATGTCGATTAGCCAGTAAGGTTCGTAAAACCCGAACCCTGTTAGGAAATTGCCTGGAGCGGTGTTTCCGAATGCTGCATAACCCAGAACTCCACACGAAATGTAGAACATGGTGGTGACCGAGACGCCGAGCGAGGTTGCCTTTTTCATGGATTCATTTTCCGGTGGACTTGATTTCAGTGTATCCTGAAATTCCAAGAATAGTATTAGTCTTTTTTTTTTCTTGGAAAGGATAAAGGATCATAGAAACCAGGAGACTTGCCTGTATTTCAATGAGGACATTGGAGAAAGAATAGGCGAACGCGATGTCGCCGAGGGCCTCGAAGACGTTCCAAACCTTCTCCCAGTCCGTCACGTCGACTCCAATCGTCGTCCCCATCAAGCTAGTCCTAGAACGAGATCCTCCTGCCACTCTGGCTATCGATAGACCGAGGCCAATGCAAGAGTAGGCAAACGACATAACGGCAGCGACCAAGGAGAGCCACGAGAGCTCATGGAAGTTGGGAATTTGGCTCAATATGATCTCTATGATGCCGAAGATGATACTGAACATATTGTTCTTGACATGGCAGCCTACAGCATGTCCCTCTTTGTGAAAACAACCTGATCTTTTTATCGCCCTGGTTAATCAAACGCGCACAAGAACATCATATTCCTTCCATATAAATCAAAACACCATTAGGAAAACTTACGCCATACTAATAGCTGAAGTGATCGAATATCCAATTGTTACCCCCACAAGATTCACATATTGTGCTATTCCACAAAACTTGTTATTGATTCCTCCTGTTAAAGAAAACCCCAAAAAAATTACCATTGGTTGGGGTTCCATGAATTTGAAAATGTAAGATTTTTACAGTCACCTAAGTTAGATTTGACAGCATCCATGTAACAGCTAAGTCTTGTTCCACAAACAGGGTCCCTGCAACAATCAACTAGCAGATTCGATGTGAACCAAGTGATGAAAGAGAACATTACAAGAGCAATGGGGCCAGCAATCCACCCCAACTGAGCAATCCCCCATGAAAGAGACAACAATCCGGAACCTATAACTGCTGTTATTATATGTGCACTTGCACTCACCCAAGTTCCTGCAAAAATAAAAACAGAAAAAGGTAAGATTTTTAACTTCAAAACCGATCAAAACAAAAGCTGCAGAAAAAACCCAGATTCGAAAATGGCTTGCCTGTTCTTTTTGATCTTTCATCATCATCGTAAGAAGCAATGGTAGACTTGCCAGTTTCCAGTTCCATGGCAAGTGATGTATAGCTTCTCTGGATATAACTTCAACAGACTATATACTTGAAGATGATTATTGAATTTTGCTTAGACAAAATCAAGACCAAACTCCATGGATATCCATACAGCTGTGAAGAATTTGAAGGTGATCTTCTTAAAGAAATGTAAATCACTTTATTTGGTAGCCTATAACTGTGCTCTTTTATTGACACTGAATAAGAAAAAGTTTAATCTAAAAAAGGTATGTAATTATAATTATATATGTGAATTGTATATATGATAAGCACACACTTCAATAAAGCTGTCGTTTCTTTATAAGGAAACGGTGATTTATTTTGAATTCTTGGATTGATTCACACTGACAATATGGTAACCTTGTATAGATTACCAAGTACTGATGCATGTATAAAATAGTTTTTTCAGAGAAAATGGAATATTGACAGAGATTTAGCTATAGATTTAGGGGTCGTAGATGGATTAAAGAGATAAATTGAACTTCTTTTCGAATTTTCAATATCTTGAGATAAAATTGTACTATGGTTTCATTTAAAACTATTCTTCTTTGGTTTTCCAGAACTACAGACAGAGTGGCATAGTAACCGCAAAGACCAAACATTGGCTTTTGACTCACATGGGGAAAAGATTTTTTTATTATTATTTTAATCTTTGGCGGTTTAATTTTGATGTAGTGATAATATATAACCGGTTACATAAATATATTGTTGAAAAGTTTTAAGTTTATTTATGATGGCATATTAATGACAGGGACACCAATTTGCAGGACAGATGCGAAGATTTCTTTCTGTATTTATTTTTATCAATTTAATAATTATTGTAACACCCTATATTTAATATGTTTTAAGATGAATTTAGTGTTACAATAAAGTCATCAAAGAGGACGCTACTTTTAAAATTTTCATTTCTCGATCAAAAACGTAAAAGTATTGATAAATCATAAACATTAAATTCATAACAAGGCAGTTTTTCCAAGAACAAAAAAAAAAATAAAAAAAGTCAATCTTGTAAAACTTAGAGTTCCGTTATATAAATTATGAATCGAAATAAATTCAAAATATAGATAGAGTTAAAAACCAGATAAACATAGAAGTACTATGAATATATATGTTTATTAAAATACATGGATATTGTTGAAAACATTTTGATGTTTTAATATAACAAATAATGTACTATTGAATTTTAAGATTTTATTCAATTTTAAAATTACATATTCGATTAAATTACTCGAATATCAAAAATATTACTCCAAGTTTTCAAACGTCAATTTCAACCCTCACTAAAGTGTAAAATTGTATTTTAAACTTAAATATTTTTTAAACAATTTTTACAAAATATTTTGAACCATAATCGAGACAAAAAATTATTTTTACAAAGGGATGTACCGATACACTCTTTAATGTATCGATGCACACTCAACATCAAATGTATTTTGTGTACCGATGCACAAACAATGCATCGACACACTCATGGGTCCTAAAAACATCGAATGCAATTAGTGTACCGATTCACCTGGAGTGTACCAATACACCAGGTCATATAACAGTCGAAATATTTGAATTTTACACACAGTGTACCGATACACCCTTGAGAGTGTACCGATGCACCCTTGAGAGTGTATCGATGCACCTACGCTCCCAACAGATTTTTAAATGATAATTACACCATAACGACTCTATTGACTTCACCAATAATCACAAACGTTTAGAAGTGATCCAAGGTGTATTTAAAAAGCTGAGGAGCCATTGATCAATAACAAGAAACAAGAATTGAGAGAGAATCAAAGAAAAAGCTTTAAACTTATTTTTTGAGCATTTTCAACCCTATTTTCATTCTAGATTCATTTTTCTTTCAAGAACACCATTTGTGCTCAATTGTATTCATTCTTGTGTGTTCTTTCTTTGTTCTAGAATTGTGCAAATAATTTACCTTGTGAGGTTTTTCTATAAGTTTGCGAGATTTGTATTTTTCTCTTTGGGAGAGAGTGTTCTCAAGAATTCGGGGTATAATTCTTGAGGGATTTGTAAGGTTACTCTTTGTTCTCAAAAGAAAGACAAATTAGTGAATTTGTGGAAAATCCTTAGTGCGGATAGTTAAGGTAGTGGACTTAGACTTTAGTTGAGAAAGTCAAACCACTCTAAATCGCTGTGCAAATCTTTTCTATTTTCTGCAAAAGCTTCCACCAAAATTTTAATTGCCAATTCACCCCCTCTTTGCTATTTCGTCGATCGATTAACTCAACAATTGGTATCAGAGCTACACTCATTTGAAGGTTTAACCACCTCTTGATTCGATTCTGGAAGAGTTATATCGATATTCAAGTCATCAATGGCCTCCACTTCAAACTTCGACTTCGTTCTTGATTCAATGCCAGTCAACAAGCCTCATTTCTTCAATGGAGCTAATTATGCTTATTGGAAGAATAGAATAAGATACTTCATTCAAGCAAGTGACATGGGAGCATAGAATATCGTGGAAGACGGATACATCATACCTCCCACTCATTCAAGATTGTGGAGTGAAGAAGAGACAAGAATGTTCCAGCTCAACTCAAAGGCTATCCATATTATATTTTGTGCTCTTGGACCAGATGAATACGGATGAGTTTCATCTTGTACAACCGTCAAGGAGATATGGGATAAACTACAAGTCATTCATGAAGGCACAAACGAGGTAAACGAATCTAAAATTAGTCTTCTAACTTATAGCTATGAAAATTTCAGGATGAAACCGGATGAAGACATCAAAGCTATGACAGACAGATTTTTCGTGATTGTCAATGGTCTCAAATCATATGGAGAGATCATTCCAAACGAGAAACTTGTAAGAAAGTTAATTTATTCTCTTCTAAAAGCTTGGAAATCAAAGAAGACGACGATCATCGAAGCTAAAAACCTAAAGTCTCTAACTCTCGATGAACTCATCGGTTCTCTACTCACGCATGAAATGATGATTACGATAAGGTAGACCTCGAGAAGAAGGACGAGACAAAGAAGGAAATGGTGAAAAAGATAAAAGTTGGAGTTGCTCTCAAATCTACAAAAGATGAGAGTGATTCAGATGAAGATGACGATGACGAGGAAATGACATTATTTCCCAAGCGGTTCAGAAAACTGACGAAGCCCAATCGAGGAAGAAAATTCAAACGAAATAAAGGCTTCAAGAATGAGCCAAAGGATAAAGACCCTATTATTTTCTACGAATACAAAATATTGGGGTTGGTCAAATACGATTGCCCACAATTAAAGAAGAATGGTCCATCGAAGAAAAAACACAAGGCTCACGTGGCTACATGGAGCGATAATGAACAATCCAATGAAGAGGAACAATAAGTAGCAAACTTGTGCTTGATGGCCATCGAGGAAAACTCTCAGGTAACCTCTAACTCTTTTGATTTTGAAGATTATTCTTTTCATGAGTTAGTAGAGGAATATACTGGGTTGGATTTGGATTATGAGAAATTATTTTCGAAATATAAGAAGGATATTTCAAAATTGAAAAAAGAAAATAATTTCTTATCTAAGACCAACAATGATCTTGAAAGTAAAATTAAAGAATTGCAGATAAAAATCGAAGATTTTGAAAAGAAAAATTATGATTTGCATAATTTACTTTCAAAGGTCAACGATAACCATAAAAAAGAAATTGATGATCTTAAAGCTTCTTTTAATAAAGTTGGAACAAAATAGTTTGAAAATGGAGAAAGTTCAAAATCCAAATTTGTTAGAAAAAGTTTTAAAAACTACAATCATAGAGGTCCCCAAAGAACCTCTAATGGTAAAATCATTAGAAGTCTATGGGTTCCTAAAGAACTCATCACTACTAAAGATAAAGACATCCTACACAAATGGATACCCAAGGGGACTAGGATTTTAGGAACTAATGAATATGGACCCAAAAGAATTTGGGTACCAAAAATCAAAAATTAAACTATGTTTATAGGAAAATGAGCATTGCTACAAGACATAAAATACAAGTTCAAATTCATGGTTCCTTGATAGTGGATGCTCAAGACACATGACCGGAGACAAGAGCCGGTTTATAGAGCTTAACGCCAAAAATGGAGGAGTGGTAACCTTTGGTGACAACTCAAAAGGTTACATTGAAGGTATAGGTACTATAGGTAATACCTCTTCCATACTTATAGAAAAAGTGCTTTGTATTAGTAGATGACTATTCTAGATATACTTGGGTTCTATTTTTAAGTACTAAAGATGAAGCATTAGAAAAATTCATCACGTTTTCAAAAGCATTCCAAAAAGAAAAAAGGTTACTCCATAACTAGTGTTAAGAGTGATCATGGTACTGAATTTGAAAATCTTGGATTTACTGATTTTTGTAATTCTAATGATATTAACCATAATTTTCAGCACCTAGAACCCCTCAACAAAATGGAGTTGTTGAGAGGAAAAAGCGAACTTTAGAAGAAATTGTTAGAACCATGCTTTGTGAAAACAATTTGCCATAATATTTTTGGGCGAAAGCCACAAATACCGCTTGTTATGTTATAAATCGTGTAATGATTAAGCCTATTTTGAAGAGAACTCCATATGAACTTTTCAAAAATAAAAAGCCTAACATTAACTATTTTTATCCATTTGGATGTAACTTTTTATTTTAAACAACGATAAAGACAATCTTGGAAAATTTGATGCTAAAAGTGATGAAGGGATTTTTCTGGGTTATTCCTTAAATTCTAAAGTTTATCGAGTATTTAATAAAAGAACTTTAGTGGTAGAAGAGTCTATACATATTGTTTTTTATGATAATTTTCTTCCGATGAAGGATTATTGTGTTGATGATGACGTAGGTATTGTAAACACACATGACGTTAGACATGACGTTGGAGAACCATCATCAAAGGAAGAGGTAAAAGATAGGGAACTCATGATGCTCTCGAGAATCCAACCATTGAAGAAAGGAAAGTCACTTACCCAAGAGAGTATAACTATGTCAAGGATGGTGAGATTATAGGTGATCCATCCAAAGAGGTAACAAC